GCATCCTCAAGATTTCCGGTCCTAGCAGCCTATTAATGCGAGTTCGTTGTGAGCATGTGCTCTATACATCGCCCTCAAAAAAGCATAAGCTGACGGTGCGTCAAAGCTATCTGCACGAGAGCGCAGCTTTAATACGTTTCGCTTATGCTTGAAAGGCCCGTTACAAACGGGAGCTTTCGGAGATCGGTTCCTTGCCTCCGAATCTCTTGGCGGAGGTAGATGCTGCTACTGAGCATTCACACCGCTAGCATGATCTGCAGAATTCCAGGGACCATCTACGGTTGCCGTAAGCTAGTGGGATGGCGGGTGCAGTTGCAGCTTTCACTGCCTTGTCAGCTTACAGGTGAAGGGAGTGCACCTACATTCTTTCGTTTACATACACAATTTTATTTTTACAAGTACTACCATAATACGAGGGCATGAGAATTGAAAAGTAGTGTTGCGGGACATTTTTGAAAACAAATTTTTTCAACTGTTCTCTTGATAAGTGTACGGGAAGAGTAACATGAAAGTAATTCGTAAAGTAACAAGTAATCCGTTACTTTTCAGCAAAAGTAATTTGTAACGGTAATCCATCACATTTGAGGCTCGGTAATTTGTACTACCTTGATCACAGTTAGCGGGAACGCCGGAGCGCGTGGCAGCGAGTACTATCAGAGCAGCCTAACGGCCCGGCGCGCAAGTTCCAGCGCATGCGCATCGCGCCTGCTGAGGGAATATGCTCTCATCGCGCGCATCACGTCATCAGAGCGCTCGCGCATCGTCTGCTACGGGCGTCGTCTTCTACGCGAAGCATGTCGCATGGAAGCGCAGGGGTTAAAATGCGTGTAGATGAACTTATCAGCCCAAGGGCATGCGACAAGCATGCGAATATTTTGATGCATGATACAGTATCATACCTTTTTTGTTTCTTATATTTTATTAAAAAAATATTCGACGCCCCCTCCCCCGCATGCGGTGTGCTTGATAAATTTAGGCGCCTTTGCATTGCTGTCAGAACGATTGCTGTACCTCGTCATGGCCAGAGTTCCAGAGGCGGACAGGTGATTGATCATCGAGCTCTCCCAGAAAGGGCACTCGCAGCGGGCCATCGGGGCCCTTGTAAAAAGGCCTCTAAAGACGGTTAATAAGATCGTTCAAGCTTTCCGTTATGTAGGCCGGATCCACGACGCACCTCGAGGGACTCCTCCAAGAGCGACGACCGAGGATGAGGACCGTTACATTATTGCCGCTGTCGTCGAGGACCCCTTTCTTTCGTTCAGGGAAATCTGAGAGGAGCTGGAATTGGACGTTTCGGACGTAACAATTCATCGGAGGTTGGCAAGCGCCGGCCTGCATAGCGCCATGGCAGCGCTGAAGTCCCTGCTATCTCCTTCAAACAAGGAAGCGAGGCTCTCCTTTGCGATGGGACATGCGTCGTGGACGGCGGATGACTGGGGCGGGGCCGTCTTTTCAGACGAATTGACGTTCTCCACCAGGCAAGACGAATGCATGCGTGTGTGGCGACCCCACGGCGCACGGTAAGGCCTGCTTAGTATGCTAGCTGTTCTACGTAGATCTTGATAATTGTTTTCGTTGCGGAAATATTTCGTCGTTCGTTTCCGTTCTCGCTACACACTCGTGATTTACTGCAATTCCGTTTGATAAAAGGCTGGGGTCCCTTAACAGTTGAATTTTCTGCTATGTTATTTGCAATGTATCCATTGTTAGTTAAAGCTAATTACGTTGTTTATTTGTTTTTTATTATCGTTGGCTCATATGGGTAGTCGTGACAGTTTTTGTTCCTTTCTCCTCTTTACCTGCGTAATTTCTGTGTATACAGTTCGATAGCTTGGCTGAAAAATCACACCACTCAACTAGGGTCAATGCACTCCTGCAGGAACGATCCTGCCTACATGCAGCGCGTTGCTTCCTGCGGCAGGACGTCCGTGAACGTTTGGGGTGCCATCACAAAACATGGCCTCGGTCCTCTGCACCGCATAGTCGGGAGGCTGACATCGACCAGTTACCGCGACGTGGTGGACACCGTCCTTATACCCTTCGTTCGGAGTGGTCTCTTCCCCGACGGGAACTTCCTTTTTCATCAAGATCTCGCGCCCATTCACACTGCGCACCGTGAAGGACCACTTGCGGCAGTGCGGCATAGAGGAGTTGCCATGGGTTCCGAAGGGCGCGGACCTCAACATCATTGAGAACGTGTGGGGCCGAATGAAGGCGGCCATGGCGCGGACTCCTATTTATTCCGCCACAGAAGACCAGCTGTGGGACGCAGTCCAAGCAGAATGGGAACGTTTGAAAGGAGACGCGTCTTTCGTGTCAAGTCTTTACGACTCGCTGCCGCCAAGGATGGCGGCTGTAGTCGAGCTAAACGGGGATATGACCCGTTACTAAGCCTGTTTTAGTTGACTTGATTTTTCTTTGACTGCAGGTAGCAGCCATTCAATTTTACTCCAGCTATAAAGTTTGCACTTTTCTTACCCGACACCACTTACACAACGTCGTCGTTACAGCAATTGGCTGCAGCAAACCTCATGGGCAGAAATCATAGACGTCTGCACCCCACAGTCACCAACACACATCTATCACAGGCCAAAAGGCAATAACAATAGGGAAGACAAAAGCCACAAGCTATAAATGCAGTTATCAAAGTCAGGGCCACGTTAATTAATGATGCAGACGCGCTGGCCGACAATTAGTTTATGATCACCGCGCCCGAGATAGCTCTAGACTTCACAGGAAGCGGGGTCGGCGAAGCTGGCGCAGACTGACGCGAGAAGAAAAAAAGTCACAATGTTTATTTGCTTTAACAAATACTGAAACTAAACCAGGAAAGCAGATGAGCACATTGGAGGAGCTTTCATTTTAGGGTTCACCACCTTTCGGGTATGCCAAAGTTCTTGCTATCACCAGTAGCATGCGCATGGTAGACAACAGCCGTAGCAGACAACACAAGTAGCAGACGACACACGTAGCAGACGACACACATAGCAGGCGAGGCGCGTAGCAGGCGAGGCGCGTAGCAGACGACAGGCGTAGCAGACGACACAGGTAGCAGACGACAGGCGTAGCAGACGATACACATAGCAGACGACGCGCGTAGCAGACGACAGACGAGCGCTCAGATGACGTGATGCGCGCGACGAGAATATAATCTCGCCGCACGCGCGATGCGCATGCGCAGCAGTTGCGCGCCAGTCCGGTAGAGCGCTCTGATAGTGACTGCTGCCACGCGCTCCGGTGTTCCCGCTAACTGTGATCAAGATAGTACTAATTGTAATCCATTACATTTTTTAAGTAACGGGCACAAGTTTGGTCACAGCGATAGTGACACGTCACGGCGAAGTTGTTAAGCATTGGCGTCGCGTTCGGAACAAGACGGATATGTAACTATTTTGCTCCAAAAACTTTGTTCCTTTTTAGTTCCCGAGCGCGTGAAAGTGTATTTCCCGGAACAAACTCTTGACAATGACAACGGTACGGTGTCATTTAAAAAAAAGATTTTATAGTCTTGCATTGGTAGATAGTCCACTCTTTGTAAAATTTCAACTTTTAAACATGAATAGTCCACAGACAGTCCAGGAAACACGGCAGCCTTGTCCTAAGACCAGTTCCTGGGCCAACACTAGTTTTTGAGCGTCAGAACTAGGCGTAGAGTTAATAGAATTATCTAGAGGGAGAGGTCCCAAGCATTTCGGCAGTTTCGAAACAGCGGGTCATATCACTGGAGACACCTTAAGATACACAAAAGAAGCACCAAAATGTCATCTGTAAGCTGCGTGTACCTACCTCTTTTTCAACTTACTTTGCAGAAAAACATTGGCATTGTGCATTGTAAAAAATAATTGAAGTGGACGAGCACTCGAACAACTTCAACTCGTCGCAACAAAACAAAAACACCAAATGTCTTTTTTTTTTTTTTTTTAAGTGACACTTTGCAGGGATTTTGGTGTCGGCTTTTGTAGTTGTCCGTCGTTCCAGCGGGGATGAAAAAACCCTTCTTTCCCTTCGTGGCACGAGAGCAAAGTATGGTGTTCCCATTAACCGCACTGCGCGAAAAGAGACGAGAGAAGAGCCCCTACGACCCGCCAATAACAGCGCGACGACGAAGAAGCAGCAGCAGAGTGTCTTTCCCTTTCATCTGCTAATGATGAATTCAAAATGGGCATTTTCGAACATAACTAACGTTATATGAAATCCCACTTTGCCAGTGTCCAGTTGTTATGCGTGATGTTGGAGGGTGTTAAAAATTTCCACTGCATTCGATTTCACCATAACATCTCTATGTCTCGAACCCAATTCGAAACGTAAAATATGCTCTGCAAAAGCTCGTCGCCTTTTACCCACCTTCCTTGCAAAGCTTCGCCTCTTTTCTCTGCTCTGTTGATCATCGCTGAACGTCAAAATTACCCCCTCCCTTCACCGTTAACAACACCAGGAAAACCTGCGCCTCCACTAGAGTTGTCACTGCCGCACTCTTCCTAATGGTGCTGCCACACCAAGGCCGTACTCCGTCTCAAGAGCAAGCACGGAGAGAACAGCTGGCTCCCATGGCTTGCGACCGGAGTCTCATCCTCAATGACAACCAACGATGCCGCACATATTAACAACAATGCCAACAATGCCACATGCCCATGCAGCATGTTACACAGTGACATGAAGATCCCGATATATGAAAAAGCGAAGCGGAGGCGCTTACACGGCAATGTGAGGATCCCGAGGTGCGCGCACATGCTACAGCTATTGCTTTTACTTCTTCACACACTGTGGGTGAAAAAGGCACTCTCCGATTTTTTATCGCTTTCTTTCTCACAAAAACACCAATGTCAGCGCTCGGGATTTTACGCATTCTGCTCCAGTCTTTACACCCCTGATGCTAGACCCTTTGCAGGTCCCTCTCCCCTCCCCCTCCCCCTCCCCCTCCCCCTCCCCCTCCCTCCGCCCCTCCCGCTCCCCTGCCTCCTGGCGAACGACACCCGGGAGGCCACCCTGCACTTGCACACCTTGGTGTAGAGGCCAAAGAGCTGCTGGTGGGAGAACTGGAGCAGCAGGTGGTCGTGGGCGGCACCACCGGACACCAGCAGGTCCACCAGCGCCTGGGGTGCCCGAGCACGCGCGGCGTGGCGCTGGCCACCCGTCACACGCAGCTCCCAGCCCACGTCCTGCAGCTGCACAAAAGGGAAGTTTCAGCTGCATCCTCAAAAGTGGTCCGTCTTCGGCAGTGCCTAGGACATGTTTCCGACCTGCGTGTGTGCAGTGTCCTCAAAAGTGGTGCACCCTAATTGTGCCTGGAACGCATACCTGACTGGCGTGTACCGGGTCTTCAAAAGCAGTATGCCTTTAATGGTGCCTGGAATGCCTCTCCGACTGGTGTGTGTACTGCGTCCCAAAAAAGGACACGCTTTCGGCAGTGCCCGGAATGAGTCTCCGACCAGTGTGTCTACCGCATCCTCAAAAGTGGTCTCTCGATTTTTACCCGAGGACGTCGCAGAAGTGCCACGCTGTCGCCTGCTGCGATCCTGGCAGTGGCACAGCAGAAGAGGTGCACGCGGCATGTGCCCATTTTGCTGCAAGTCCATCTCCAGCTCGACACACAGTCCAAGGAAGCTTCGGCAGCCAGGAGCTAGGGCGCGCCGGTGATGGTGGCACTCGCATGTGCTTGTCCTTTTACCGGAAATTCTTCGACTAACCGCTAGGATTGCCATGTTCGACAGCAGGACTTGCCGTCTCCCAAGACGTAATCCGTTACCGCGTCGGGACCACTTTCGATGCGCGGGCGGTACGAAACGCTACGCTTGCCAGTTAGAAAACACGTTCCAGACGCCGCACCCCGACTGAACCCACCTGTCTGGCGGCCAGGGAGTGGTGCTTGAGCCTCTCCACCACCTGCTTGGCACCGGCCGTCCACGCCTGGACCAGGCACTGCACCTACAACACACGGGGTCCATCGCTGTACAGTTCTGCCGGTCCCGCCTAGATTTCGACGTCACGGAAGTAGGTATGTCGCGAACCCGCCAGGTTCGAGTTCAATCAGGTTTGCTTAACCTCCGACACAGAGTTCGACACAAGTGTGACTGAAGTTAAGCCTTTTTTAAGCGTACACGAAAACTAAAACACAAGCGAACACCACCTAGCAGGGGAAAAGTGCAATATTTGTTGAGTATAGTATATAGTTTTATCATTATACATAAATGAACTAATGAAAGCATGATTAGAAGTACACATCTTGCTTTCATTTTGTGTTAACATTGCCGATCATTTTAAAAATAAAGTAGTTTATAAATTATTTGATTCCCAAGATTTAAAATTTTTTAGCAGAAGTCACGCAACATTGTCCATAAGTTGAACTTCGTCAAACAGTGCTAAAACTTCTAAGGATTGACGAACAAGTTGAACCTTAGGTTCGACAAGAGTTCTCGGCATCCCTAGACAGAAGGGAAGCCGCGACTCAGTAGACCATTCTGGAAATATGCAACACCTTCCATCGCCTTTTTGACACACTATGGCAATCTGATGTACGACCTGTGAAGGAGTACCTAAGAATAGAAGGAACGGTTCATGTTTGCTTATTATTTCACAATCTCAGAACGCAAAGAAAGCAGGACGGTAACAAAACAGGGCATGTATTAGCTTTTGTGTTGCACCGTTGCTAGGATTTATGAAGGGCACGAGCTGGCCGGAGCCTGGATCAAAACAGCCCCACTATTCCCCGCATTGTGCAGTGCAATGTAAACTCTACGAGAGGCTTCAGCGAATTTTCTGGAAAGTTTAATTAAATTAAAGACACTGACTTGACACAACGTAAAACTTTCAGCCTTTCCACTCTGGTGCGGAAGGAAGACCAGCAAAGCTGTACTGTGGTGGGAATGAAGTAATGGCCGGCTGCAAGTCGGCAAGCCAGAGTGCAAAGGTTCGAAAGGTTGCCGCAATCTATGAGCAACGGTGGCAACCAGAAAACCGACAAACACAACACTCTAGACATCTACCGCCATCTATGAGCGACGGCGGCTACAAAGCAACTAGCTTGCCGCTGTCACTCATAGATAGCGGTAGCTGTCCAGAGTGTTGTGTCAACATATTTTTGGGGACTGACACGATCCTGGGGAAACTAGTCCTTAACAGCTTCGCTGTAAAAAAAAAACAATTTCATTAAACAATTCATCTCCCATGTGTGAGGCATTTCAAGTACAACAGCAATGCAAGGGTCCACCTGTGTCGAGATAGTCCCTTACATGGCTGCTGTACCTGCTGAAGATGCCTCCCACATGGGATGTGAAACATCTAATGAAATTGTTTTTAGAGCGCAGCTCTTAGGGGCCCGTTTCCGGTTTGAGCGGCGTCGCCGTCGCCGTCGGCGTAACCGCGCGGTGCATTATGGGTAAATTTCCCCGCTAAATCTAGCGGAAAAAATTCCCCGCTAAATCCAGCGGAAAAATTTCCCCGCTAAATCTAGCGGGAAAAATTTCCCCGCTAAATCTAGCGGGAAAAATTCCCCGCTAAATCTAGCGAGAAAAATTGCCATCTAGCGGAAAATTTTTTCTGGGGGGTCACGTGACTCCCCAAGGTCACATGACCCCCCCGCCCCGAGAACAGGTAACCCTCAGTACCCTTCCCTCCTCCTCCTCAAGAGCTGCGCTCCAATTCGGTGTTACAGGGAGTTGTAAACGGCATTCATTTTTATGTTATGCCGTCATTATTTTAATTATGAAGTCTCCTGGCTTTTGAAGGATTTTTGCACGGAACGCAGTTCTCGCACTGCAGATTGCAGATCTGGACAGAAGCGGGCAGATATGGGCAGCTCCGACTAAGATTCAGAAAGAATCTCTGCTGGACCTTGGAAAAGATTGGTATGCACGTCCAACGGCTCCTAGGATGGCAAAAAGGGGTTGTGGCTGCCCGCAAAAATCTTGTTTCGGAAATAAAGAAGGCTTAATCCTGATCAAGTCTAGGTGCTCCAAGGCATCTGACATGCATACAAGATATATATTTTGTTATTTTGTTGACCTAACATTTGCCATTTCTTCAGAAACTGAACATATTTTTAAAAAACAAGTGATGTCCTTTTTTTTCTTTTTTTTCATTACAAAACTTACCCTTGAAAAGCTTAGGAGAGCATTTGCGCCCCCCCCCCCCCCCCCCTGAAATCTGCCCCTGTGCCCAGCCTGGCGGGAGCAACCTCGACACGAGCCCCTTCTTTCTGGACCATGCCCTCACCTTGGTGTCGGAAAGCTCCAGGGCAGTCAGTTGCGCCTGCAGCACCTGGGGCTTGGCCACGTGGAAGGCCGCCTGCGGGGGTGCAACCACAGCTCAGACGCTCCGGGAAAGCCAAAAGCCTGCCACCCATCCCCCTCTTGGGCAAACACTAAAGATGAGGATGGAGGACCTCCCCCCACGTGCGAGTTACTCGCACCGAAATGAACCTCAAACAATAAAAAATGGGCCACCGCTGCCTCCCCAGGGTGGCTCCACACCCTTGGTTGCAACCAAGTGTGCTGTGCAGCCTTGTACTCTCTTACAATGAGAGAACACCAGAGAAGCTAGACTGGAGAGGGTCCATCTCAAACCATGGGAAGCGTATGCAATAATATAGCAGACGCCTCCCGCACCTATCAGTCACAAGTGCGCATGCGCCGCATTGTCGCGTGGCGGCGAGAAAAGCGGGCGGAAAGGCAGAGACGCTCGCAGACAATCAACGCATTCGTCACCTCCACGCAGATTGTATTGCAAACGCAGCCCCTGAACTGCGTGACCCCAGTCCAGCATTTGGAAACTCTCTGTGATACAGGCTCCCTAGAACACACTGGCACCATCTATGAGGAGGCCCTAGAACTATATTTAACTAGAGTAAAGGTTTTGCAGTATTTGTGAGATCAAATGTACGACGTGCGACACTGTCAGTGCGAACGCGACATTGGCAGTTTGTCCCATTGTACTTTGAAGGGGTACCGGTGGGCATCACAATTTTACCTCGGGCAACTACCCTAAATGACTACTTTCCACCGTACAAGCAGTTTTGAAGACAGTCCTATAATTCTGAAAGAAAAAAATAACTAGCGATCGCTTGTTCGCACAAGCAGTGTCGCGCCGTCACACAGCTATGAAAAATGGCTACTCATAAAATTGTCAAAAAGTTTTTCAAGCCCATGACGAAAGAGTGATGCGCGAAAGAAAGCACAAAAATACGGAAATCACGAGTGTTCCATGGTCACCCGTCAGGGGGCACCTATTGTGTTCTCTCGTTGTGAGAGATCGCAAGAGCGTGCAACGCACTCAGTGGCAAACGAACGAAAGTGTTTGAAGCAGCCTTTAATGCTTTTCAAATTGGACAATATAAATTTGTGGCAGATCTCTCCAGAAATACATTTGTAAGATACATCCAAGGGAACTGCCCGTCGTGCTTACTTGGAGCACCTGCAAGGCTCTAAGGATGTTCTGGTCCAAACTAGGGCTGGTCAACTTGCAAGTTTAGATTCTAGTTCCTTAACTCTTTGACAAACTGAGAGATAACGGGCATTGTGGAGACTGCAGTAATAGCAAAAGGGCAGATGGAATGCTGTTGCTGGTATCATTCACAATTGCACATGTTCTGGTCTTGACTGCTCTATTTTGTCGCCCGGCTTCTTTGGGAGAGGTCAGCCTGGGCGTATTGACATACCGTAAAATCCCGAGAGATAGCCCACATAACATCAAGAGCAAATCGGGTGAAAATATGGAGTGGGCTAACTTTCGGTGTACAATCAAGAAAAGTTAAGGAATTGCTATTTTTAGGTTGTGCCCCTTCCAAGCTTGTTATGGTGGTGAGGAGCAACGAAGCAAAGATGACTGTACTTCCCAGTGAGCAACGTTTTCTTATATCCTGCAATAGCTAACTAGCGGCATTTACACCAAGGCTGACATTGATCCCAACACCACTATTACTAGGAGTGGGCTATCTTTCGGTATTTAAAAAAACTATAGCAAATCAAGCCACAAATAAAGGTGGGCTATCTTTCGGAGGTGGGGCATCTCTCGGGATTTTACGGTACCTTAAAGGGGTGCCCAGCTCCCCAAAATATTTTTGTTTAGTCCCGATCGATACCAGATGCATGGCACAAAATAAACTTTCCCGCCCAAAATACATTTTTGATGCAATTTTTATCACGAGACACAGTTTGAGCTAATCAGAAACAGGTGCACTTCTGTCTTGGGGTTGATGTCTCGAATTAGAAGCATGTTTCGTTATTGCTCCTAACTCATAATGAGACTTGCAATGTAAACATTGCACTTAAAAAAATATTTCTTGGGAGTTGAAGACCCTTTACGGTGTATTAGCACGATGGAGGTTTTCCTCTGAGGAGCGGATTAAACGTCATGGAGTTACGAGGTCACGTAAGCCATGTCACGGATGTTCATCAATCACTTCCCTCCCACCCTCCCCCCCGTCTCCCCCCCTTTTACCCTAGCCCTCAGAGAGCTATGGAGAATTTGCGACCGGCCTACAGAATACCCATCATCTCATCATCGGAGCCACTGGTCCCCCCTCCCCCCCCCCTCCATTTTTAGGGAAGAATCATGGTCAGCAGCATTGAGCTGTGGATTGCCCTTTTTCTTTTCTTTTTTTTCCCCCTGCCTATTGTTTTACGAGACCCCGAAGGCCGCAACCCCGTTCACAAAAAGAAAGACTCTGTTGACCCAACTACCCGTGCGACTCATTCGTGCAAATGCTCGGATTTTTTGCGTCGCCTTCCTTCTCACAGAGCTACAACATACTCAGTTTTCTTAGCAGGTCATGCGAATACACCATTAGGAAAGACCAGACGTTCCCCCGACAGTGCTGGGACCTCTCACCTGCTCGAGGATGAAGGAAACAGTCTCCAGGACGAGGGTGACATCCTTGGCTCCCAGGGCAAAGGCCTTCTGCAGCCGCGACTCCTCTTCCTCGCTGAAGCTACGCTCGTCCTGCCGACGGGGGGGGGGGTGCACCGGTCAGTCCCAAAAAGAACAACCGGGCAAGGGCCTTGCTCCGCCAACGTCGTCGGCCCCGTAGCGACGGGGGATTTCATGGTGTAGGACGGTTTCGCAAAATGCATTTTTACTTCCGGTACGCCAGATTCCGCTATGATGACGAACAGCATCCGCCACTTTCCTCGTTAGCTTGCAAACAGAGACTTAGTTTTTAGCATTGTTTTGGGTTATCGTGAAAAGCACAAGTGTGGAGAGTGGCTTTGTCAACGACAGAGCACAGTAAGTATAACCACGTCAATTTTGTTTTTCTTGCTTTTGTTGCCGCCCCGGTGGCTTCTACCGAGATGAATTTGGCCGCCAACGGATCAAGTTCTTGATTGCTGGCCAAATAAAGACCGGTACTTATAAAAATCGAGTACCAGAAGTCCGGTTTTGGTCAAGGTGAGAGCAAGAGCGTTCTCGGCTGCTGATTGGACGTGGTACCATAGCTCGCGCGTAATCAAACAACGAGACATTTTTGACCCTTTGGCGAGTTTGCAATCGGGCAATATTTTGGCGGGAACATCTCACCAGCATAGAAACATAGAGGTTTCGCGACATCTAATTTGCTTGTCCTTAGTACTCTCCACCTGCTCGAGGTGCGCCCTGCCAGCTTGTACACTGCAATGGAGGCTCTGGCGATTATCTCTCTGCTGAGGAATCGGCCCCCTGGCAGGGGTCTGCTCTTGGGAGGGGGGCAAAGCAAATATCACTACGGCGGCGGTTGCCGCCGCACGGATGTCCTCGACTGTCATCGACCCACTGCTGTTGCCCTTGAGTGCCCCTTTGTGGGGTGGGGCTGGTGTTGCAAACAAAGCGTGAGTCATCTATGGCTTCCAACGTGAAATAGCAGACGATCACGATTTCAGCCTGCATCCAGTCTTACTTCGCCGCGGTACTCGGTCCGTGGTAGACGATAAACTTTTCTCGGGGTCTCTTAGCAGACGACATACGGAGTTTTTTTTATTTCTCCCGGCCAATAACGCTTCATAGCAGATGCACCGCATTCTTCTCTCACATCGGCAGAAGAACTGCCCGTGAATGCTATCGTCATTTGCTCTGCGGGAGGCAAATTAGATCTCGCTCTTGTTTTCGCGATGACCGAAATCGAACCCCAGATGATGATCCTTTGTGTCGCCGACTACTCCGGCAGACGCAGTCAACCACAATACATAAGAACTTGACCAAACACTGCCTCCATGCACAGAACGACACAAGACGAAAGTTCATCAACGTGACGTCCGGCAAGACTTCGAGCCACAAGTATGTCACGTGAAACCACCCTATTCTTCGTTCTGGCACAACTTGGCAAACGGCGAATGCCACAGTCCCAGTGAGTCAATTGGAGCGTCGGGCACAGCGCGTCATGACAGACCGTTGGCACCATCACATGCTTCGTTCCGTCACTCGGAGTGGATTGAAAGGGCCCATAGCGCTCGCTCTCTGCCAAGTTATGCCGAAGCGAAGTATAAGCGGTATTCACTGGACACCATATTTGAGTGCACTGTTCAGTGGGCATGTTCAGAACCAGCTCACAATTATAGGTTCCCAAGATCGGCAGTCTTGACGGTGTGGAATGCACGTTGCAAAACTGCCGTGGAGACTTGCCGTCAGCACACGCTGAGCAGCTAGCACTCGGAAATGGCCGCCAGTGAATACGTCCTATAGAGCCATGGCTCCGAATACACAGCGATGGAAACGCGACCAAGGGATAACTGGTCACCTTCAAGTGCAGCTTCTGTAGTATGCGTGCCAGGAGAGCGCTGAACTTGGTATCATCCAGCTGGTTGATCAAGCTGACAGCCTGCAGCAAGCTAGTGGGAGAAGAAGGGTAGACATTTATTTATTTATTTTAAATACCCTCAAGGTAAGTATATTAAAGAGGGGAGAAAGCTGCAAAAATATTAACGATAAAGTGTACAATTATTAATAGCATGTTAAAACAAAACAATATCAGTGATGTTAGCAATCGAGGCGGGAAGGTGGTTCTAGTCTATCAATGTTTGAGGCATAAAAGAATATTGAAATAATTAAGTTCTAAAATTTGGAATACAAACCTTATGGCTATGACCAACGCGAGCAGATTATTAGAATGGTGGAGTAATTAGTTTATGACGAAGGGTAACATATTGATGAAATATTTGTATGAAAAAGACACAAATGTAATCTTTCGGTGGCGAGTTAGTAATGGCAGATGTAAAGCGTTTTTAATCATAAAAACGCTAACAGTGTGATAATAGTTTGTCAATAGGAAACAAGATGAACGGTTTTGAATGAATTCAATAAGAGGAATTAATGATGAGAAAGAAAAACAGTGCAGAAGGACAAAGACAGAGGAATATAAGACGCAAATACATCGGCAGAATTGATAGTGAAAGCCTCGAAAATCTGTTTCAGTTCTGCATCTGTACTTCCCCAGAAACAAAACCGGAAGAGAGTTTGTCAGACGAAGAATTTGAACGTATTGCTTCATCATAGTGACAAGAAAGCATACATGTCTCTCTTGTTTTTTTTTTCACATTAAAGTTGAGTAGTTATAATCACCGACAAGAGGAGAACGGCACATAGAAGCTCCAGTTGTCTCGCCCCCGGCACAAGCGTCCTACCTTCGACAACGCTCCAATATAATGTGCACCCCGAGTGTGCGCGTGCAGCCAAAGCACGGCGAAAGATAATGAGCTTGTGCTTCTGGCTGCGCCTTCAAAAGAGGCGCACAGCCGTTCTCACTCCGTCAGCATCTATAGTTCCCAGCATGTTCTTGCACTGTACCAACTAGCCCATGCTGCCATCCTATGACAAGCAGGGACCAATTGCGTGCAACTTCTAGGTTGCCGTAATTTCTGTGGCCACAGCGGACTCTGGACCGACGTCTGCTGAAGCCGGGCTCGTACCCACTCCCTCGGCCGGGCCGCAACCTTCCGGCCACACTGCGGAGCCGGAAGCACTGTCGCAAACTTCGCGAAACGATATCGACGACACTTCTGAAGTCCGCCTTCTGGACAAGAAATAATCCAATTTTGAATTTTTCATCGTGGGAATGAGGCTTCTAACTGATGAGCGTTACGATTTAATGTGCTTTAACTGCGCAAGAAACAGTTTGCAAACTGAACGCTCAAGTATGCCCTGTGGCATCTTCAAAAAGAGCGTGGAATTCTTTGGAATGTGCTCAAAAAAAGATTAGCTATTTCATTCGAGGCTTTAGGCAGGCCACTTGCTCAAGTTTTTGTTTATCAAACCTTGTCTTTTTATTTATTTCGTGTGATCCCCATGTAGGAAGGCATTACAAAATAAATGTATGGAGTGTGTGTTTTCATTCAATAAAACCAAAAAGAAAAAAACAATATTATACCTAAAAGGCATGCATTGTTCAATTAAAATCAAACAAAAAAATAGCTGCCAAAATGCAATGACTATGAGCTATTGCTTGAGCAGTGCTCAGCTCAACTTCTGTTTGAATATGATGCAGAAATACTGTTGCAGCAAAGGTCATTCTACGGCGTGTTTCTGAGCACTCTTTGGGAGTAAAGAAATGTATAAGCCAATAAACGGAGTACAATTAAACTCTTCACAAAGGAGTCTTTAAGCAGTGCGCTTATTACACTCAAATTTCATGAGTGTAGGTTTCCCAAACAGAAACAGAAACTTGAGCCATAAAAATCCTATGATTCCTACATACAAAGAGGGCAACGGAAACAAGCTATCCGGCCGACGCTGCTACTCAAAGGTGGCACAACAGGGAACAAAAACTTCAAAGCTTCTTTGAGATTGAGCACCCAAAAGCAGATCCACCCGGCGCACCAATACGTCCAAAAACGGCAGCACACCGTCCCTCTCAGTTTCACACGTGAACTGGATAGCCGTATGAATACTATTCAACGCCAAGTGGAAAGCATGCAAGTTCGCCTTCTTCAGGATTACGAAAGTGTCATCAACATACCGGCAGTACATTTTTAAGGGGAAAGACAATGAGTTCATGACTAACTACTCCACATATCCATTACCAAATTCGCCGACGAACAACCTTCAATCTGATGGTACACAACATTGTCAAAAGTAAAGTAAGCCTGGTTTAAACAACACCGCAACAAAATCACAATATCCTCTACAAGCAGGGGCGTGCGGGATCCCAAAGTGCAATCATCTAGCAAACGTTTTTCCACGACATCAATAGCCAACCCAATTCGCACATTCGTGAACAAGGAGACGACGTCAAAGGACGTTATTACGTCGCCATCCTCAAGCTTCTGCGGACGGACAGCTGTTACAAAATACCGAGAGTTCACAACAGATGGCACGTTCTCCTCAGTCAAAGGTCTCAGCAATTCCACCAGAAATTTCAAGAGGTTGTAGGTAGGTAGGTAGGTAGGCAACAAACGAAACAATCGGACGGAGAGGACAGCCTTTTTTGTGCACCTTCGATCGGTAACCCGTAGAACTTAGGGTGGACCCATCAGACAAAAAAAGGCGGCAATAAAGAATCTCATCGAGCCTTCCCTTCATCTTAAGCCTGCTCAAATGATCCACAAGTTGTCTTCCTGATCGCGCAGTAGATCCAACGTTCAATTTCACAAAATGAAAAGGGTAATTTATAATCCTATACATTTTCTCTTTATAATCACTTCGGTTTAACACTGTCCCCACCACCAGGGGCCAGTGCTAGACCGAAGCCAGGGGCCAGTATGTACTGGTAATGCCACCCGGATAGGTGGCGAAACGTCCATGTTATTTTTTGTGTTACATTAAGCCAGAGTAAACTTATTTCATTATGACTACCCCTGGCTTTTGGAACGCATTTGCATTTATCAAACTAGCTTTGAGCCCTGTACCGCGGCCACCTTTGCATTGGTTTTCCTTGCATATGACCAATTTCAGATTAATATCTTTAGGAGATGATGGACCCCCCAATATACTCCCAATTACTAAATTTAACTTATTAAAAAAAGAAATCATTGAAAAAAAAACACACCTCATGTATCAAGTTACATATAATTAATATTTGACATATTCAGCATAAGACAGAGAATCACAAATATATACTGTATGTGCATGATAATGTCATTGATCCATTATAATATTTGCATTTTCTAGCAGCTCAATTGCACTCATTCGAAATTTAAGAAAATACTTACGCAAGATTTGACAATTCTAGAGCGCAACTCTTCGGCGCCCGTTTCCGGTTTGAGCGGCGGCGCCGTCGGCGTAACCGTAAGGTCACGCGACTGCCCCCCCCCCCCCCCTTCCCAAAGGTCTTGTAACCTCAAGGAGTCACCTACCCCTCAGTACCCTTCCATCCACCTCCTCAAGAGCTGCGCTCTAATCCGGCGTTACTGGGAGTTGTAAACGGCTTTCATTTTTTTATCCCACACCTATAGACGCTTTACAGCAGCTGTGCATGGGCGCCGCCATAACTGACCTTCAGTTTCTGTTCCCTCTTATTCCGTTCGCTTTACTTCATCATTACCACAGCAGGACAGGTTATTGCTATTTTAGATGCTACTGTGTTCTTGTGCTCAGCATAGGCCCTTGTGAAGACCCGTCAACGCCTGCTTCAGTGGCTTGGCATCTCGGTAAGACAAGGAAGGGCGGCAATGGCGGCTCAATCTGCCGCGTGTGTAAAGCGTCGATACTATGCTTCACTAAAGTTAGAGTGTAGCTGATAGGACCGACAAGCAGTGGTGAAAACAAAACATACTAATGACACTTGTGGATTTTTTTGTGTATGTATGTTATCTGGTTAGCTCAATCAAGCACAGGGTGCATCGTGACTAGGGATGTCGCGAACCAGCCTAGGTTCGATTTTGAAAGGTTTCGATACTTTTGAAGCAAACTGAGGTTTGAATTCGAAAAATTTCAATATTTTCGTATCAACCTTCGAATTCGAAAAATTCTCAACTTTCGATCACAGTTGAGTTTCGAATTCGAGAGGTTCGAAGCTTTCATGGTTTCTGAAATTTCGGGTAAGAATATTTCGAATATTTTTTTTACTTGAGGTTCGATAAATTCAAAGTTTTCGAACTTTCCGAACTTGAAAATTTGAAATATTCGAAAATTTTGAATTTCCTCGAATCTGAAATTCGAAAAATTCGAAGATCTCAAAATTCTTTGGATATAAAATTAGAAAAATTTGAACCCTTCGAATTTTTATAAACATAAAGTTAGAAAAATTTGAATATTTTTAACTTCTTTCTACATAAAGTTCGAAGGTTTCGATTCTCTTTTAACGCTAAATTAAAAAAAAAAAAATCGGTTTTGAATTTTTTTTAGGTCCAAGTTTTCAAAATTCGGAATCCGGTTTTCATGTTCCTCCACAGTTTCAGTTTCAAATAATGTTTTCACGACTCACTGTTTTTCACGAAATCAGGTTTAGAAAAGATAGGGTGTGATATTTAGACTCCGCAAAGTTGGGTCAAACAATTAAATGAGACAATGAGTGTCCCAGATGTGCTGGAATATTTGCTAGTGCAGATGCAAAGTGACGTGTTACCATAGATCAGTAATTGTGACCGCCAGCCCCGGGGGGGGGGAGGGTTTTTAGCGTGCATCACACAGTAGTGATCACACAAACGCACTGTTTTACGACACTCATCCAGTTCGAAACGTCCAGGGGCGGGCAGGAGGTTGAAGCTCAGAAAAACCTTGAAGTGACCTGGCAAACTACCTCCCTACCCCTTGCACGCTGGTAGTAATCCGATCGAACACCGCCCGAGTGACGCTGACATATAGTAAATTAAGTTTGCAATTGTCCTGGAGGTTTATTTTCCGGGACGGAGGGAACGCCTCGCAAAAAAGAGCACAGATGCCGACACAACTCGAGGTCGAGGAGCGTTCTACCATACAAGTGGCATCGGAAGAAGAAAAACGGGAGAGGGGGAGGGGGGGGGGGGGGGGGGGCTGGAGCCCCCCTTTCCCCTTTCCAGATATTTTGGACTGTTAAAGAAAACAATACGGGGAAAGAGGGCGTGGTCGAGGTTATTTTATTTTGAAATTATTTATGCATATGTATTGCTACTGTCCCTCTTCACTGCATAAAAGATCGAGTAGATGGTCATTCTCGAAAACTCTCTGTCAGAAGGCACTAGCTGTCACATGCTTAGTGGTTCGGAAGTTCACAGCTATGTCTTTTCGGCCTGAATAGCTGTGCCATTGATAAAAAGAAATTAAAAAATAAACATAACAATAAATGCGGGAATAAAAAGCTGGAGAAAAAAAAAAAAAAACTACCAAGAATTTGTCGGAAGTGTTGTATTCTTGCATATTCAGAAGCTCAGAACTTCGAAACAAGTTTCTGCTACCAAAATGAGTGCAGGCTAAAAGAAACACGTCCCAAGAACGTGAAGCGAAAAAACAAATGTTTATTTTTTTAATGACGTGCTGAACTTGAACGATATTAGATATCTTCTCCCATGAGTTAATTTAATCCTGAATGTGAAAAAACAATGAATATATTATTTTGTATTCTGCAGATGGCAATGATATGTACTGTCTGTAGTGTTAATTTAAACGCGATACCTCAAACAACGTAGACGAAAAAAAAAATACCAAGTTTAGGGCATAACTATTCATAGATACATGTTTGGACATTTCTTCAAAACTTATCTTAAATAACAATAATCACACCTTAAGACGACTCTTACCTAGGCTATACATAGATCTTTCTTAAAAAATGTTTAACATCTCTACCCTAAATAGCTTCGGCTATGGCGCGCTTCAAATATGGCACAAACGACAATCGTCGAAAAACTGTCGTTCTTCTTCGCCCCCCTCGGGAATTTATTTCTTTAAAACTAAGCACGCCAAAATATTGAAACAAACGGCATTGTCTTTCGTAAGGAACGCAGCACCGCATGTAAAAATTCGAGAAGAAAAAGAATTACGAATGTACCCCACTACTTGGATTCAAATGAAACTGTCCACCAGTCTTTCGAAGTTCGACGAACGTCGAACTTTTACCCTATAAGTTCGAAGTTTGTCGAACTTTTGACATGTCAGGATTCGAAAATTCGAAACTTTTTGAATTTTTTTGATAAATAAGTTTGAAAGTTCGAAAATTATCGAGTTCCTTAGCGTAGGAAATTCGAAAGTTCGAAAAGCTTCAAATTTTGTAGTGCAAGAAGTTCGGAAGTTCAAAAATCATTGAATTTGTTGGTATATCAAGTTCGAAAGTTTGACAAGCATCGAATTTTGCAGCTTAATAAGTCCGAAAAAGATCAAATATTTTTGCGTCATAAGTTCGACGGTTCGAAAAGCGTCGAACTTCTTAGTTTCACAAGTTCGAAAATTCGACTTCAGTCGAACTTTACAATATAGAACGTTTGAAAATTTGAAATCTTTCGAACCTGTCGAACCGCTTGATTCGATAGTCGAAACTTCGATTCGAAAAAAGTTTGCGGCATCCCTAATCGTGACTGTCTTTGTACGAATTTTGAGTGACGGGTTAATCTTCTATAATCTTGTGGAGGGACAATAGCGACTTCTGGGACACACAAACGAGAGTTTCGGGGAGAGGGGAGTTCTTCCTTCAGCTCTTCTCCCGTTGTGGCTTTAGTCGTTTCCGGAGGCGAGACAGTTACCTTCACTACCTGTCAAGGTTCCTGGACGGGCATTACAAACGAGGCGTTCGCGACATCCACCAGGTGCTCTTTGCTAATCGCTTAAAAATTCATTTTCGTGTCTTTTTCAACAAGAGATTGGCATGTCTGATGAGATAACGCTCCATTGAACACGAATAGACCAACAAATAAGCGCCGAAATTTCGTTGTAGTACCTTTTATGCGCGCGCCGGAGTAATACCGTGACAGCGGGGCGCATGCTCCAAAGGCTCTGGTAGTGCGCTACTTCAGTAAGGGTTGACTATAAGACCCTATTATCTGTTTGTGTCCGGCTAGCAGGCGGAGAAGGCAATGACTCTACTTCTCCAGGATTCCGGTGACTTTTAGCCCCAGCAGGAGCAGCGAGTCGTTTATCACAAATTCAGGCCGTTCATTTCTCTCGTCTGTGTCGATACATCACCAACGAGCGACTTCGAGAAAAACCAAAGCTACAACGCTCCAAGTGAATGTTAAACGCAGGTTCCGACGATTTCAGTTGCCGGGAAGCGCTGCGCACGGCGGTCGGCGCGTTGCCCCAGTGCCGAATCTGTGTCAAGGTTTCGGGGCCACGCTGCCCGGCGAACCTATCGATTGAAACTGCCGTCAGCTGAGCCCAGCCCGATGCCCGCAGCACAATCGGAAGTCTGTGACCCTGTGATACAGCCTGGCAGAGCATAGCGTTCTTTCGCCGCATCCTTTGTGGGCGTAGATCGCGTGCGGCCGAAGGTTATCCGACAAATCAGAAGTTCTACGCGAACAAAAAAAAATTAAGAGAAAGTACCGACGTCGACGAACGCTTTCGCCGCGCGGTGCTTGTTTTGCCGCGGCGAAATGTTAGAATGCTGCAAATTATAACTTACCTGGCCGTTTTGGTGAACATAGACACGGTCATCTTTGTCAAGTCGCACGCTCGGCCCAGTCGCTATGTTGCTATGCCACCAAAATTTAAAAGACGCTGAAAGAGAAAACAAAACAACACAAAAGACGAAACCCTACTGGCACGACATCTTTCAACGGGCAGTGCGATTTCTGGTGACCTTCTCAGGTACGCCAAGCTTAATAATTAATTTATGTAAACGTAAGGGTGTATTATTAATTTTACGCCTATGGTGCTTTGCCAAAGCGGCTAAAGCTTTATCGCAAATCTCACGTGCATTGTTTTGTGCATCGCAGCAACCATTCGTTTTTATGCTAGATGGCGCAAGCTATCGTCAGTTATAAAGGGGGTTAATATTTGTCCATCCACCCATCCGGCAACCTTCAAGATGGCGCGCCACTAGAGAGCCGTGGCGGCCGTGGTTGCGCGTGGTTGGGTTGTTCGATTTGGCTGGGCCCGTATTCTGTGTATACGATATGTTACCTTCGAGAAGAGGGACGCCGACGTTCGGCCAAGTGGTCATCGGACCGCCGGGGTCGGGAAAGTCGAGCTACTGCAAGGCGATGAAGGAGTTCTGCACGACGCTGGGCCGCAAGGTGGCCGTGGTCAACATGGACCCAGCCAACGACGTGCTGCCGTACGAGGCGAGCGTGGACATTGCGGCCTTGGTTCAGCTTCGAGACGTGATGGACTCGCTGAGGCTGGGCCCCAACGGTGGCCTCGTCTACTGCATGGAGTTCCTGGAGGCGCACCTGGAATGGCTCACGAGCCAGCTGGAGGCCTTCCGGGACCACTACCTGCTCATCGACTGCCCCGGACAGGTGACGCCGTCTCAGCTGCTATACGGAGAGAAACTGAGGGAGAGGAGGGCACGAGAGCGCGCGGAGACTTCAGAGCGCCGGGCTCTGACTAGAAGGATTAGTGGGTAGGGGCCAAGGCCTTCGTGCTCACTGTTCGAGCGCGTTCGGGCGTCGCGGTCCGGCGTTCCAACGCGGGACATTGCGCGAAGAGCAGGCGACGCGCTTGTTCGGTCGGATTGGAGGGAAACAGTGTAGTAGGGAAGACAGCTAGCCTTTGTGTCTACCTTCCAATCAGAGCTCGGCACTTAGACGTCTTCGCGTGCTCTCCATCTCCTCCTCTCCCTCATTTTTTATTTGTGCAGGCACTGCCAGAATGAGAAGGGCAGGGCGACTCTTGCGGCTGCTGTTTTATAACTCTGCATTCCTTTAAACTAGGGACGGTCTCAAGCATTCATGAATCTGTGTCTCAATTGCAAGGAGGCTCCAAAAGCTGCGGCGACATTCTTCGAGAATTTCTTTTAGAAAATATTGCTTCGAAAAGACCCGAAAAACCACATAAAGCTCATAACTCGCAATGTGAATCTGCAAAGACCACTTCTCTGACATAGAAGCTGCACTTCGTGGTCCGCAACTTCGGCACAGCTATTCTCGAAGCCAGAGCGTGCTTTCGTAGCTGCAGGCTCTTACCTTGGCAATGGTGTCTGGAACGCCTCTCCGGCTGGTGTACTTACTGCGTCCTAAAAAGTGGTCTCTCGATTTCCGCCTGCTGATGTCATAGATATTCTGCTGCAGGTCACTCCAGTTTGACGGTCCACAGAACCTTTGTCAGTCAGAAGTTGGGATGTTGCGACGATTGCTCCGGAACGTCCGGAATATCCGGGGAATGTCCGAAACTTTTACGTACAGCCGCCAGGATTATGACATCTGACAGCTTTGAGCTGCCAGACCAACTCTGACAGCGTGACACTCTGGCCTTTCCGACGTTGTTTGTTGCCACTATGGGACCGCTTTAGGTGTGTGGACGGAATAAGATGTTAAACACACCAGTTGGAGACGCGTTCCAGGCACCACACCTCAGTCTCTACGACTTGACTGCACCGAGTGTCGGCAAAGGGGAGCCTGCAAGTTTCCTCCCCTCTATAGCTGTAGTGCATTGTGGCTGAGCTTGTCCCATTGGCCCCCAGGTGGAGCTGTACACCCACCACCGGAGCGTGCACAACATTGTGAGCCACCTGCAGGCGAGCAACTTTCGGGTCTCGGCGACGCACCTGGTGGACTCGCACTACTGCAGCGACCCGGCCAAGTTCATCTCGGTGCTGCTCACCTCGCTCTGCACCATGCTGCAGGGTGAGGGGTGCTTGTTCCCAGCCTTACTGTGCTTGGAGTGCGACTTCAACTGGTGTGGTTAGTGCCCTATTTCGCCCACGCATAAAAAGCGGTGACGTCGCAGGAGTGGCATGTCAGATGTCGCAATCTTAACGGTTGGGTGCAAAAGTTCTGAAAAAAAAAAAAAAACCTTGTGAGAATCCGAGTGTCGCTATGGTCTCGGCGTCCCAACTCCTGGCTGCCGAAGCTCCTGTGGACTGTCAGCCTACAGATTGGGCGCTTGCCAAATCCGCCACCAGAATTAAAGCCGGCGACAATGTGACACTTTTACGACGTCATCGGGCGGAAGTCGAGAGACTATTTTTTTAAACGCGGTAAACGCACCAGTAGGAAGCGCATTCCAGGCACCATAGTTACGATGCTTGGAATGCATCTTCTGTTCAGCATTTTGTCCCATCCATCCGTCGAGAGTGGTCTCAAAGTGTCAACAAATGACATCATAGTAGCCAACGTGTCATGTCGTCGGAGTCGCAGTCCCGGCGGTTGGTTGTAGAAAGGTTCCTGCGAAAAGATGAGCGAGTGCCAGTGTCGCTGTCGTCGTGGCGTCTCAACTCGTTGCCGCAGAAGCTTCCGCGGATTGTCGAGCAGAGACCCACCACATCCACCTCCGCTGCTGTGCCACTGCCAGGATCACGGCAGGCGACGGCGTAACGTTTCTGTGACGTCGTTGGGCGGAAATCGAGGGACCACATTTTCGGACACGGTAAACACCGCAGTCAAGGACACGCTGTAGACCCTCTGCTGGCGTGTCGCGGTTTAGCTTTTTTTTAGAAATGCCGTAGTCCACTGGGCTACGGGTACCGCTATGCTCGCACGTTTGCCTTTGCACGGTCGTCGCTACCGATCTCCGTGTATTCCCCGGAGCCACCTTGGAACCATACTTTTGGTATGCTGAAGTTAAAGAAAGCCTACATGCCAGAAGCAGGTAGTTACATTCTTCTGGTTTTTTTCATCTATGTGTCTGCTTTGATTTATCGTTACCATGGTCACTGACAGATTAAGAACCCTCTAGGTGTTCCGCCTTTAGCACGTGCTTATGCGTAGTGCAGGTTCATCTGCTTCTTTTGCAAGGGTTGTGGTGACGTCAGAATGCTAAACTCTGATTGGCTGTGATTGAAGGATAGTGGGAAGACCTTAAAGCAACCTGTTTGACAACTATTGAAAAATAATAGAAATCCTTCTTAGAAACTTTTAGCACTAAACTATCTAAAATGTATTGATTGTATACTGTTGAAAAACTGTGAATCAAAGATATCGATAGTGAAATATCAATATTTCTCTTGATAGGTTGTCAAAGGGTTTTCTGTTGCATTAGATTTTTTTCGGGGAGTTTGCACCTTGTTTTTTTATAGACAAGGTTTCGCCAGGAAAATTTAAATCCTTTTGTTTCCCATGGTAAGTAAACCATGTATTGCAGAGATCTGAAACTCTGCTTGAATATTATGCTGTGGTGATCGAATGCAAAAGTATGGGGAGATGACTTTACCCGGATGAAAGATAAGTGTGGCATTTATTCTATCAAACAAGTTGTGAGAAACAAAGAAAACAAGATAAGAACAATATTGCCTTTTGGATTCACAAACATTTCAATGAAGTAATGCCTCATTGCCAACTATATTGTTTATTTGATGATGGAAAACTTTCATTTATCTTTGATTTTTGATCCAGTTAACATAGTTCCCAAACTTATGTGACAAAGGCCAAAAAAGAAAGCCTCACTGCTAACAATGTTGGCTTTATATAAGTTTCTTTTTTTATCTCGTGATGCTCAGTTTGAAGTGTCCACAGTAAAATTTCTGTTACAATTGTTGGCTCAAAAATGTTTATTTATACATTATGTGACAGGTCTTATATTTTCAAATTATATTTTATACCAAGAGGTAAATTATTTATCCCTCACCGTTATCGAAATCTGCGAAAATATAACCGAACATAAAGTGGCAACACATACATCGCGCAAAACAAGCCTAAATGTTTCTTTCATCACCGAATTCTCAATTTCCGGAAATTAGCTATCAGCAGTCATCAGCAGAAAAAGGCTCGAGGTACACCTAAGCACTTCTTATGAGTTGTGAATGCAAAAGCATGCAAGCCGCTCGTTCGCGTCTTTATTTCGTCTGCTACATACTTTTTGCCGCCGGTCAGCGCGTGCGAGCAGCGTGCTGACGGACACATAGCACCATGGGGTGAGTGGTCGTTGAAGCTGACGCACAGCGGCCAATTGAAGCCTCGTCGACGCGCACCAGCCAATAGGACTGAAGACGAAAATACATCAGCTTTACTCCGCTCCTTTGGGATCGGGGAATTTAGGTGCCTTTGGGTAGCTTTTTGCGTGGTTTCATAGCTGGGATCTGGCTTCACTTGGAGAAAGGATTTAAGGGGCCATTTGGTGCGGCTTGCTCCATAAAACAGTTAATGCTTTTGCATTAAAAAAAAAAGTATGATTCATAGCAGAGTGCCGATTCTCACCTGTCAGCGGTCAAGACTATGGAAGGTAGTGACAATTGAATAACAAAAGAAACACAAGCGTGAAACAAACTTGCAAGAATTTAAAAAAAACTGAATCTGCTTTTTTATTTTTACGTGCGGGAATACTAATGTGCCAAGCCTGATATCTGAACCCCAGGATTTACAAGATATGAGCACAGATAAAGATGAAAATGCCCTTTCTCTTTTATTTCTAAGTTTGTTGTATGAGAATGCAACTTTGTTTAGTTTCCTTTCTGTTTCACGTTCTGACCATATCCCCGTGTTGCCTTTCCGTAGGTATTAGTCATCTAATTTTTCGGGTTGTGCTTTTATTCTCGTAACACACAATAGTTTTCTTAAAGTTGACTTTCGACACTATGAATAGTCAACCGAAAACCAACTATCGATAGTCAACTCTCCATGGTAGTGTCGATACTACTATCGATGGTATGATAGGTAGTCAAATATCTAAAGTTTTGAAAAAACCGTCTATAGTATCGTTAGTCAATTTTTCTATAGTCTTGCACTACCAGTGCACACGCACCTTGAAAACAGGGTTGCATTTTTCGGGATGGATGACACAGTGATCTCACATCCATAAATTTTTCAAAATTGCACTAGTTGCCTTGATCATGCTGACGAAGACCGGGAGGCACGGCATCTGCTGTAAATGAACTGGGCACATGCTGTGGGTGTTTGAGATCCTGGCGTCACAGTACACCATGGTGTTATGCCGTCGCATGACACCGTGGTGCTGCAAGGTGTCACAATTTTGTGAGTCTTTCAGAAGGTTCTTCGTTATGAGCTTTACATAGAATACGGCTCATGAAACAGATTCCGCGTTAAAAGAAACATTGCGCTACGCGTGACCACGGATACACAGCAGCGTGGTGGTTGGGAGGCCATCGCACGTCCCGTTAAGACCAGCCTCATTCGCGCGGATGTTGATGGCTCTCCGTCCAACTTGGCAGACGGGTCATCACTAGGATTCCATGTTTCCGGCATTAGCGAGGAGACTCCTTTGCAGAGCACTAGGTTTAGGGTGGCGCACATCTTTTGCGCTATGCTATCGAAATGTAAATCTGGCGTCGAAGTCTGACAACTAGGAGGCTCCTTGAACCTTCGGACAATGCGTGTGCCGCTTAGATATACGTAATTTGTGTTATTCTTATAACACGAGCACAGTTTCAAAGCAGCCTTGAGCAGGTACCAGACGACACGACAAAGACGACTCAGCCCACATGCTTTCGAGAAACCCAGGAGATGCATGACGGGGCACTCGTGCAGTGAATCACCACCTATGTGTCCTTGCGTTCATCGTGTCTTCTGCAAGAGCGACGGTCGCTTTCAGCAATACACGGGGGTCAACATTTGAGACCATTGCGATACTCTGCTCCACAAGCGAAGCGTAGTCAGTCACTCTAGTGGCAACTGAGGAGCCTCTCTGCTCCGCAGTGGAGCTTCCGCAGGTCAACGTGCTGTCGAAGGTGGACCTGGTGGAGAGCTGCGGCCGGCTCCACTTTGGCCTGGATTTCTACACGGACGTGCTCGACCTCTCCTTCCTCGCGGGCGTCCTCTCGGTGAGAGACTGGCCCAGTCTTTATGCATGCGCTACACGTCCTGTCCCACCCATACGTCAAAAGTGTTCCCTAAGTGGCGACAAATGACGTCGCAGAACCTGCCGTGTCATGTTGACGGACGTCGCGATCCTTAGCATTTGGTGCTAAAAGTCTTGGCAAAGAGCATGAGCGAATGCGAACGTTGCGGAATCACAACAATTTACTGCCGAAGCTTTCGTGGTCTGTCAACCTGGAGAGCGACCTGCAGCAGAGCGCGCATCTGCCGTATACACCACTGCCGCCATGACGCCACCAGGATCGCGGCCGAGAACAAAATGACACTTTTATGACGTTATCAGGCAGAAATGGAGAGACCACTTTTTGCGATAAACACACCATTTGGAGACAGACACCATACCGCCACTCTCCTTTTGCAGCTCAGCGACAAAGCAGTAGCATTGTAGAGCAGGTATGTGCACTTAGGGGGGTCATGAAACAATGCTGGCTTGGAATGTTCATGACTTTGCAGAAGCGTGCTGGTCCTAGTCTGGCCCAAGTATACACGCACAGACCGCCACTGATTCACAAGCTTCTTTGTCACTATGAAATTGCGAGGATCGAAGGGGGTATTTCTTTCAGTCTTGCCATCGCAAAGCTTGATAACATAATTGTGGGATCGGAATCACCCACCTGACGACGATTGAGCATGGCTCATGGATTGGACACGAGAACTGTTTGAACACTTGACTTCTGCTCGTATGAATCAATGCCTGTAACAATGTGTCCAACCTCTGTGTTGAAGAGAGTAGCCGAACCCTAAAAATGCCTGGATCTCAGCGCGCATTTTCTACTTTACCAATCCCAGTGCATGGCTATGATTATTAGTGACAGCACAGGATAGGCACCAGGCCATGTTGTCCCTTGTTCTGGCTCTGAGTTGAGGGAATAAACGATGCTCATATTTCTCGAATTTTTTTGCCGACTGCCATTGCCTAGAAAGAAAACCTAAGGCAAGTTTATTTAGTTATTAACGTGGGGGAGAGATTCTAAGTTGTATTTAGCGAAAGCAGAAAAATTGTTTCGAGTAGATATGGACACGGTGAATGCACCAACCTTCTTTCCTTGGGGGGTGTTGCAGTATTATGTGATGCCCCCCTTTGGGCCCTAAAGATAATGAACGAACGAATGAATGAAAAGAGACGGTTCCGACAAAGTGAGTGGCCGACCACTCGAAGGGGGCGCGTGTATGTAGCCCGCCCTGGCGGCGGTTCTGGTTGCTCCCAGGATGACCCGATCCTGCGGAGGCACAAGAAGCTCAATGAGGCCTTGGCCGGGGTCGTCGAAGACTACAGCCTGGTCTCCTTCCTGCCTCTCAACATCCAGGTGAGACCAGCCGTGCTTCGAGACGAGAGTCTTCGACAGGTGGAGCGAACAGACGCAAAAGAATGTTGCAGCCTCCTTCCTTATCGCCGAACCTTCGCTAAGTGAACTCTTCCGTTAACCTTCCGCTCTGGAATGGAAAAATGGAAGAGTTTAGTTAGAGGTGATGCGATTGCTGTGGTATTTTCTCCAAACTGTGCCAAAGTGCTTACCCTGCTACATTTTGCTTCATGTCGGCAAAATATGATGAATTTGCGCCAACATTGGACTAAAATGTAATTTCACTTTGTTATATTACTAGAAATATAATAGCTCAGGCTCCACTACAGGGCCGGATTGTTGCGGTATGCCTGTGCAAATTTTCAGAACTTTGGATTATTGCCTCAAATAATTACTCGATTTGATCTCTGTGTCGAACATTGACAGTACTCGTAGGCCTTGCAATATCTATCATGTTCGTGGTCTGTTCTGGCAGGCTATACTTCGTTTCAGCTTCGGTCCGAGCGCGGCCGATGTTATGAGCCGAAGGGCCAATCAAACAGCGAAAGAGGCACAACGTCACGGCGTGCTCCCTGCAGCTGATAGGACCAGCCGGTATTCGCCGTCTCTCTGCGCCTGCTCCTCCGCCGGCCGCTGCGCTTTTTACGCTGTTTGATTGGCCCTTCGGCTCGTAACATCGGCCGCGCTCGGACCGAAGCTGAAACGAAGTATAGCTAGCTTCGTTGCATGCGCTTCTCGCCACGCTTTGGTGCACTGCAGTGAAGTGAGAACCGTAGGGTAGGCATCGCAATTCTGTGTATTTTGCTTTGTCGGAGCACACCCGCGTCCTAAGGGGAAAGCACTCCTCCAAAGCGGTAAGTTGCACTATTGCATACGCAAGCATCGGGCGTATTAAAAAAAAAAAGATCTCCATGAGTGTTTATTTAGCAACTCTACCTTCCTGTAAAATTTCTTAACAAAACTGTAGCTAGTATATATAATACACAACACAAAAAAATACTTACATTTTTTTTTTTTTTTTAGTTTAGCAAGGGATTTATATGAACGTAGGAAAGTTTTTTTTTATGTCAACTCTATTGCTTAGTTATCACCTTCATATAGGTTCCATCTGTGCAATGATAATGAGTACAGTAAAGTGAAACTACATTAGCTGAGGCACTGAGTGGAAACTTGCAAATAACTGGTGAAGGCGAGCGGGTTGAACATGAATACATAAAATTGAAAGAATAAAACACAGAGGACAAGCACAGGACAACCACTTTCTTTCATTTAGCAACAACGTTTATTTTGGGCAAAGGCATTGCACCCTGAGCGAGACCCCGACAAGATAGGTGTATAAGGGGGAAGGCTAACAGGGAGATGGAAAGGGTGATATGGGGGACGGAAAGGAAACTTAGGAGATGGAAAGGTGATAAAGGGGAAGGGAAACGGGGAGATGGAAGGGGTGATAGGAGAAGGAAAGGGGGAACCACGAGGCACGGCCAGAACTACCGGGATGTTGTGTATTTACGAAGAGTTGCGATATTTTTCAAGTTCAGGCTTGAGGAATTCTAAATCCCGTCTTGATAAGGTTACTGAGGCCGATGAAACATTGTTTTCTGCGTTCTGGATGAGAAAAGATTCGATGATTTCACGTCCGTGGCGATTGCGGTGTCCATCTCTTGTCGTGGTTCCTGCAAAGTCAGGCGCGCATCCAATGCATTCGTTCGCGTGAACCGCGATCGGATGAATGGGGGTGTCGGTTCTTGAAGTGGCCTCGTTTTTGTGCTCTCTCAGGCGGTCATTGATACATCGGCCGGTTTGTCCTATGTACTCGGCACCGCATTTGAGAGGGATGGAGCAAACTTTTTCTGTGCAGCAGGTCCGTAAAAGGGTGGCTGCTTTTTTTCGCAAGCCGGCTTGGCTTCTTGTCGGTTGATCATGTTGCATGCATGTGCAACATGAATTTACATTTAAAAGGACACTGAGTTCATCTATTTATGATCATAACTCTGTGCACGGGCTCTGGGCATTCTAAAGAACCCGAGATTTGATATGCGTCCGATTTCCCAACTAAAAATGGGATCAAAGATGGCTACATGCTCATTTTTCTGTGATTGGGCACACAAACCAGAGGGCGCCGTGGATCGTGCAACAGCCAGTCGCGAGCAGTTGCCACGACAAGGGGGCCAACCAATGCTGGGCCGATTTTCAAACATGTGTAACTTGTGCACAGGAAGTGGTTGCTCGCGATTGGCTGTCGCCCATCTGACGGCGCACTCCTGCCCAATTGCAGAAAAACAAGTGTGTCGCAATCTTCAATTCGGTTTATGAAAGCGAGATCGGGCGCGCATCGATCTAGTCTTGGGTTTATTAGAATACTTAGAGCCCAAAAATTGAGTTAAAACCTTAAATACATGATGTCCAAAACCGCATCTGGCTGGGGGTAGAAAGGCAGTCACCCCCACTCCGCTGAAAGGTTAAGTGATTTAGCGAGCAACGAGACGAGCAATGGGGCGTCAGTGATGAGCGACGAAAATTTTTCATTGTCGCTCGTTGCGTCGCTTGGCTTTTGTTTTTCTAGAAAACGGCGCCCATCACCTTGGTCGCTTGCTCCCGTCACTTTCATACGGTTTGTCTTGTCGCGCGATTGACTGAGCAACAGCGAAGCGGGTCGCCATCTCTTGTCTCGTTGCTTGCCAAATCGCATACATCCGGTTTATACTTAAATCTGCCACTGGTGTCAAGGTATTGGCCCGAAACATGCCATCCCCACGGCACCCCTTTCTCTTCACAGGACAAGGAGTCCATGTGGAGTGTCCTGAAGGCCTGCGACCGAAGCAACGGCTACGTCTTTGGCCAGGGGGAGGAGGAGACCCTGCAGCGTCTGCTTACTTCGGCCATGCGTTCGGACACGACCTCGCGGGACGTCATTGCCCGGCTGCACGAGCGACTCACCACGTCCGGCACGACAACTGTGGTGGAGGAGGACGAAGGAGAGGCGAGCGACCGATCGGTCGACTCAGACTTCTGAGGTAGCAGCGTTGCAGTATCCGAAACATGTCTTTAAGCGGTGCATTTATCATGCCCTCCAATGCAGTTCCCCAATTTACGTCCAGTGACGTGACAGAAGTGTGGTGCCGATGCCTGCTGTGATCTTGGCAGTGGCAGAGGCAGATGTGGCAGACGGCCATTTTCGCTTTCGGGCTGACGGTCCACGGAAGCTTCTGCGGCAACAAGTTGGAACTTTGCAATGACAGCGGCACTCACTTTTGCTCATATTTTTTTTTAAACTTTTACGACCAATCGCGAGGATTGTGACATCCGACAGCATGACATATGCCTGGTTCCGTGACGTCGTCTGCTACCACTTTGGGAGCTCTTTCAATGCATGGTTGATGTAAGACGCTGAATGCATTAGTCAAAGATAAGTTCCAGGTGCCATAGTGGCACCGTAACGTGGTTGACTGCCGTCATAAACACCGTTTCCGAAGCCGAGAGGATGTTGCCCATGTCCCCCGCTCTCCAACAGCAGGCTGCAGACGTCCTTGATGTGCCCCTCATCAGGCCGGAGGCTGTCCTTCGCTCGAGTGCTCCCGTTGCGAGCCAACCCTGCAAGCACTCGAGAGCTCGTACTCTGGATAGAAGCGGACTTGTGCTTTTGGCTTTCGAATGAACTGGGACCGAATGCAATGCATCTGGGGAAGACCCGGGCTCTTGTTGTGATGTGGATGTGAAGCCGCCTCGTTTAAATGACATTTCGGTCATAGTTTGGGATGAGGTGCTTTGGACACACAAACCTGACTTGACTTTTCTTTTAATAATATAAGTGTGGAATTAAATGTCAACAAAATGGCCATCCCGACATTTTCTTTATGGGTGTACGGCAATCACCCGGGGATCTTCCAAAACCTCGGCTACGCAGCGTGTCGACTGTGACGGGCCCCGGTTGCATAGCGGCCCCCTTGGCCGGGGTTCGGGCCCGGCGTTTGTTGATCCACGGGCTGGCCTGTTGCCTCGGTGCCATGGAGGCGGCTGCTAGGATGCAAGTCTGATAACGATAGACTGCTTGCCGGATTTTGTCCTTGCTTGCATGCTCCTGGTGATGGGGGAACCAGTGTAATGAAGTAGGCTCAGCCGTGAAACCCCGCCCCTTCGAGCGTCAACTGGGAGAGAATGCACCTCCACAGTAAGAGGCTTCATCCTCATCGACTGTCCCCCACCCAGCTTTTGATGATGACGAAAAGCTATTGCTATATTGTGGACCATTTTTTTGTAATGCATTGTTAACCAATTCTTTTTAATATTTGTTGGGTGCTTTTCTCTAAGTATGAAACACATTTCGAATGCTCACCTTTTTTCCCAGCAAATTGTAGCAAGCACTGCTCCTTTTTGCATGCAATACATTTAGAGCAGATTCACCGAGTTACCTATACAAGGTGAGGATAGCAGAAAGGAGCTTCAGTTGTTCCGTCTCCAGCGCAAGCTTCTTGTCTTTGACAGTGCTTCAATACCTCGTGCACCTGAAGCTAGTGCTTGGCGGAAGATGTGGAGCGCGTGCTGAGGTCCAGGCATTCGAAACACTCCCTGCTGTTCTCACATTGACCTCCGCCTAGCAGCTTGAATGCAATGCGCTTCCCTATACTCCATTCATCCCTAAGCTGAGACTGCAGTGGAAGCATGCTGACAAGTGCACCAAAGTGCTGCATGGAGACTTGAAGCCTCGCAGAGTGCCAAGTTTGGGTGAAACTTCTTTTCGCTCCATATTCACGAAACAGAGCTTATACTTTTTCCGATGGCAAGGTTAATGTAATTTCTATCGAATGACATTATGTGGTCTCCGGATCGGATCACTATCTTGCGTTAGGAGAGGCGCACGCTGATTAGCCGATCAGATAACTTAATCGGAAATTGGATTAACTTTGCAGTGAGGAACCATCGTGAACATGAACATTATATGGGCCAGTTATATTGTGTATAATTCCTTCCTTTCTATAATATGGGCACTGTTCTTAGGTGACCAGCTCAACAAGGTGATGATGTCATCAAGTCACGTGGCTAATTATGCCACTAGTAACATGCCTTATGACGTCATTTATGCTTTTTTTGTATGTGCATATGTGTTCTGTGTATGTGTGGGGGAGTTTGTTGTGTTGTCATTCAAAAGCAGCCTGACAATGCAGAGCCCGATTGATAGATTGAAAAGCGATTTTATTTGCATATGAATACAAGAGAAAAAAAAAATGGTGGCTGGGGCCAGTTGGTTCATTGTATGAAAAGAAAAGTGCCAAAAACTGGGACAGAGTAAAGAAGGCGACAACACAAGGTGCACTTGCAACTGAATTTTTATTTAGAAAAACACTTTGAAACACCCCACGTCGGGTCATTTTTCATGTGCCCACTCTAGAGAGAAGCAGACTTGTGCTTCTGGCTTTCGAATGAACAGGGACCGAATGCAGTGCATCTGGGGAAGACCCGGGCTCTTGTTGTGTCAGGATCAAGGAAAGTTCACTGAAACTTATTTGCACCCTTTGTTTTTATAACCTACGCTTTATGGATTTCCCTGGTATTCCTTTTGCTGCGACACCCCAGGATAGCAATGTCATTAAACACTGGTGTACACACGCATCGGCTGCAATGCACAGTCAAACGCCCAGAAGGTGACTATATTAAGGAGGCAGCGTGCTCTCTCGCGCAATTATTCACACAACGGCCTGTTTGGCCCATGTAGGAACCACTACAGGAAAGAGGTAATTCGTAAACCACACCGGTTTGGCATTTCAAGTTCAGATATTTTTACTTACATTTGCCGCTGTACCCCCATGATCATTTATTTTTCTGCATAACGCAGAGAGCTTATTAGGGGCTGAAAAGACAACCGGAACGTCTAACGTTCCGCTACTTTTTTTCAAGGATTGGCAAACCGCATGAATGTAGCAGGTCTTATTTTTTGGCATTCATGAATATTTCTTTCAGCACCTCTGAATTTCTTTTTAAGCCCCTCTACAGCTTCAACAATCGATTTCAGCAGAAAACCTGCACTTAATGCTGATCGACCTCTAGGAAAAAGCTTTCCATTTCATCGGGACAGGATTTTTCAGAGCACCTCCGAGGCACGAAGAGGCGATACATCTTTTTATTAACTTGGAGTGAGCGGAATTAAAAGGGAGCACACCTTTCTTAAAGCGGAGTTCGTAAGCCCAGCACACGTGGCCATCCAAGCATCTTAGTTTTAAATCCAGAAACTGTAACAAGCCCCTTGAGGTCCTCCCATGAGTGAATTTTAAACCATGGGAGCTGCATGTAAACGTGCTGATCACTTGAGCCACCATCTTGTCCATAAGCTTATTTCCAGGGTGGGCGATGACGAGGTAATCATCGACTTACCTGTTTATTTCAAAAACGCTTTCACCCTGAAGCCTCTCAAAAATATTTGGGCGCTTTTCTTTCTGTACAATGGACCAACTGATGCAACTCACCTTTTTGTTGCAATTCATTTCTTCTGCAACGGGCTCTTTTTAATGCGAAAGCATTAACTGGGGGGGTGGGGGGGGTCCCATGGAGCGAGCCGACGTCATCAGTTTGACGCGCGAAAACGGCACCTAGTTTCCCTGATCCCAAAAGTCCCATTGGCTGGCGCATGGCGACGAGGCTCCGATTGGCCGCTGCGCGCATCAGTTTCAACGACTGCCGCCAGATGGCGCTGCCTGTTCATGCCGCCAGCGTGCCGATAAAACTAACCGTTGCAACCCCATGCCACTACGGGCCCCGCGGTAGTTAAAATGGACATGTTGGCGCGTGCTTGGAGACTCCTGTTCGTCTTGCCGCTGACCAACATGCCGTCGCCTCCATCATCCACATCGTTGGCGGTGCTTCTGCTCGTCTGGCTGCCGACGAACATGGCGCCGCCTCTAGCGTCCACATTGTCGGACATTCATGCTTTCGCATTCACAACTCATAAGAAGTGCTTAGGTGTCCTCCAACTTTTTTATGTTCCCCATTCTACTCTTACTTTTGTTAACTTAATGGCCACTTCCTGCTACCGTGCAAGAGTGTGCGCATATGCCAGAGGTGGCCAAGCTGCGGCTCTCGAACCGCATGTGGCTCTTCGCGTCTTAATGTGCGGCTCGCGGCTCCCTCCCCTAGCCTCCCCCGCCCTCCCCCACCCCTCGCCTCCCTTTCGGTCACACGAGCACGTTCCCAAAAAGAGAAATGGGACGCGTTTTAAATCGAAAGACAAATTGCGGTTTGGTTAGTCTTGTGCTACTGCTACCTTACATACACTTGGACTGCTTTTGTCTCGAATAGATTGAAGGTAGTTGGAGTGTCGTGTATTACTCTGAACGAAATGGCCCCCCCCCCCCCCCCCCCCCCCCCCCCCGCGGCTCTTGGAAGTTTCGTGGTTTTGTTTGCGGCTCTTTGGCCGGGTCAGCCTGGCCACCCCTGGCATATGCCATTCGCACTGGTTGCTTGCCACCAGAAGTGCTGGCGCTCTTTGATGGCTGTCCACCATCTCGTGGCCACGCCAAACGAATGTGCAAGCTCCTCAGGTCCGATACGTGGAAACAAGTGGAAAGGTTCCGGGATTGCCTCACGGCATTGTGCTACAGAGGGTGTCAAGACCGAGCAGCGGCTGAGAGAAGTCATATGCTTCCCACCTCCGGAATGCCAAGGATGTGACTGAGTTCCTGTGGCAGCGACAGCTGTCCTGGCTGCCCAGAAAATGACCAACCAGTAGGAATAAGCAAAAGGGAGTTACCTTCCTTGGTGGAGCCTCTCTGCCGGGCAACTTCAAGGCTACAATGTAATAAATGTAAGGGCGCAAACAAGCTGGTGTACATTAGACATGATTCAAAAACTCAGAGACCGCAAGTAACGATACACACACTCAAAAGTCTCAATTTGAGACTTAAGCGTGCATGTTGTTACCTGCAGTCTCTGGTTTTTTTAATCACGTTCAAGGCTATGCTGGACAAAGGGCCCAGACTGCCACAACCAGATAAGCTATCCCTGGTCAGAAGTTTGGCTGACGAGGTGCTGCATCAAGAGAGGGTTCGGTGCATTGCTGATGGAGTTTATGTGCTCTGCCAAACGGCTGGTCAACGCACAAAAATTCAGAAATTTACATCCATTGTTGAACACTTCAGAATCAACAATCTCAAGCTGCTTGCATCTGACAAGGAGTGGGGCTTCGTTGTCCTTTCTCAGGAGCTTTACGCCGAAAAAGCCAAGCAACCCGTCCTCAAGAACTTCAATCAGGTGAAACCAGGATCTCTGAACAAGGTGAAGGTGAGGGCGAGGGCATTGTGCTGTGAACTATCCCTCCCAGTTTTGGAGAGGAAGGTGACTTCCAGCAAGAAACTTTCCCTGAACATGTTCTTCACGGCAAAAATGGACATACCTTTTAGAGCAATTGTTACGGAAAAAGACACATGGAAGATCCAGATATCTTCCTTTCTCTCAACCCACCTATCAAGTCTGAAACTGCAGGGTAAGTTTTAAAGCGCAGCTTTTAGGCGCCCGTTTCCGGCTTGAGCGTCGTCGCCGTTGGTGTAACCGTGAGGTCACGTGACCCCCCCCCCCCCCCCCCCAGGTCACATGACCTGGAGGGTGGTTCTATATTTCAGAGCACAGCTCTTAGGCGGCCATTTCTGGCTTGAGCGGTATGGAGGACAGCAGTAGGAGGGAGGTAGAGGAGGAGGGTGAGGGGAGAGGAGAAGGCAAGGGGAGGAGTTTGAAGGATAATGAGGAGGTGAAGGAGAAGGAGGGGGTGGAGGAGGTGGAGGAGTAGCAGGCAGGATCATGAGGGAGGAGGGGTATGCCCTCCCCTCAGTACCCTTGCCTCCTCCTTTTCAATAGCTGCGCTCCAATTCGGTGTTACAGGGGGTTGTAAACGGCTTTCATTTTTTTGTTCAGAATTCAGAGGAATTGATTGAATTTTTGAAAGAGGGGTGTGGAGGGAAGTGCAACGCGTTTTTAATTGACATTGAAGATCTCTTTTCTTCTGTTCCGCATATCGTCCTTTTTAACACTGTTAGGAAGTGCATTGAGAGCAGTGGGGAACTGGGCCTTCCGAAGCTCTTGCAGGATGAGTATAAAGGGTTTCATTAAACTTTGATCTTTTTGGGAACTTCTTGAAGTCGTCCTCGGAGTTTCGCCATAACCAAATTAAACTGCAGGGGGGACGTGACGGATCCCTGCGGAACTCCTATTCCGTTCGGTCTGGGCTTTCCTAAGTGTTCTCCTATACATACAGCAAATTTGCTGTCTCCAAG